CAGCAATGGGCAGCTACACTTTCCTTTGAAAAAAGCATTAGCATAGCTGTTTTTTTTTTTTTTTGAGCGCAGGAATCATGTAGTGTTAGCAAAAAGTTGGTGGTTTTTTGCTACTCTACGCTGCGCTACGGGCCACCAACAGCTGCTACAGCAACCAAATTTCACTAAACAGTGCATTAGCACAGCATAGTGGGCACTTTTTGGGGCCCTGCATGTGTAGTGTTAGATGCTATGCTAAGTTTTAAATTCCACTGCATTACGCTACACAAACACTACAGTAAGCCTAACTGGCCCACCACTTATCTAACCCAGAGAAACGTGGATGGTATGGAAAAAGTGTTTGAATGACCAATGTGAAACTACTGAACCAGGGACATAGAGCTTGGAGGGGATATAGACAGCAGTATTAATGTAAGCTGATACTACAGGTGCTGATGAGGCTGCCCTCCTGTGCAATGCTAATGGGGAGGGTTTAACACTAATAAGAAGAAGAATATAGGTGTGGCTGATTTCTAATTTATCTTAGACTAATTACTGATGAGCTTGTGTAAGTAGTACCTACTGAGTTGTGAGGAGGAGGAGCAATGAGGTGTGATGGGATAATAACTGGTAAGGGTGTAACACTGGCAATGAGGAATGGCACTGGCAAAGTGTAATAATCTGGCAAAGGAGGATTTATAACTGTCAAAGGGGGATGCTGGAAAACATAGCTGGCAATGATATATTCTGGTAAAGATGTAAGGGTGATACTAGTTTTCTGATTTCTAAGACTATGATTCAACTTTCAAGAGTAATTTGGACAAGGCAAATAGCATCAGGGAAAAATGCATGAGAAGGAAAAAACAGTATATATGTGTACAACATGAACATACAACAGCAAAGCAAAATGGCTGGGGAAATCCTGGCTATGGGTAATGTAAATCTTAAACAGTAATAAGTGATTGAGAAGCAAAGTGACCCAGAGATAGATGTTCTGTGCACACAAGTGCTAATAATAGAAAGAAATTCCAGGCTGTTTGTAAAGAAATATGTGCATGATGTAGTGTAGTTAGGTTAGCGGTGGGCCGCTATGCTTTTGGCCCCAAAATTGTAGTGTTAGCGTTTTTTTGGCGGATTTTTGCTACGCTACAGGGCCAAAAAACCGCCAACCAGTGTGTTAGCGTAGCGTAGTGGGCACTTTTTTGGAGCCTATGTAAGGTTCCGATCTGGACCCCAAAGATACGGTGCTACCCGACCGGGTACCGGGTTGGGTTGCGGGATGAGTCCAGGAGTACCCGGTATCCAATCAGGTACCTATGTAGAGAGGAGGACAGCATATGGCAGAGGAGAAGCATATAAAATTGCCTCAATCATCTGCTTTGGTCATTGGTCATTGCAGCAGATTATATCATAGTGGAACGGTATTGTTAATTTTGGTAGTGTAAGGGAGAACAACAAGCATGTAATGAAAAAATAGACTATGTATAATTGTGGTAGGTTGATGTTATCAAAATTGATGACAGCTTCAGCAAGGGGGGTTGATAACCGCACGCCAACCCCCATGGCGCACGCCAATCCGCACGCCAGGCGCAGATTGGCGTGCGGGCCTGCACACCAATCTGCTGCAGGGGAGTTGGCCTGCAGTTGGCGTGCAGGCCTGCACGCCCAACTTTAGGTCCTAAACGCATATTTATATGCGTTTAGGACCTAAAGGCCGTCGTGGTGCGGATCGATCATTGGAGGAGACATCAGCCTCAGGCGTCTATGGCTTGAGGCGGCTACCAGAATCGCTAATGGCCCGACCTCCGGTTGAAAATGGTGACTCCGATGGAATTGAGGTCATCGGAATCATGAGGATAATCTTGGCCCTCCTGGCCAGGGTCGGAAATCGAAGAGAGTTGACATTCCACCAGTTGAGGAGGTCAAACGAAGGGTAGTCGATGTCTACTGTTGGTTCTTGAAGGTACAAGTCCAATTCTGCCGATGGTGAGGCAGCGCCGTTACTGGATTTCTTCCCGGCTAGATATGCCTTGAATCGGGGATTATCGTTTGCTTCTTCAGGGGCTTTCCTGGGATTTCCGCTGCTTGATGGCTGGTCATCGTCAGGTGGTGCGGGCTCGCGTCGAGTAAGGTCGTCAAACCATCTGTATATGTTAGATTTGATATCCTTTGAGCTATTTGCTGCCGCTTCGGTACTTAGTTCCTCAGAGATTCAGAAGTCGATGAGTTCTATTTTGCACCTATGGTCTCAGATAATGTCGAATGCGGCGAAGTCTGCTCATCTCTCTGCCAGTATTTGTTGTATTTTTCTGACATGGCAGGTACCGAGTTTACTATGTGTT